CCGGCGGGCGGTGGCCAGCTCCCTGCCCACGGCTCGGTGCCTGCTTTGCCGTACCATGGGGATGCAGGAGCAGCAAATAACCAAACCCTCACCAGCTGCTTCCCAGGGACATGAGTCAGGGTAACCTTCCCGGAAAAGGTGATGCCAAAAGCACCGCGTTTCTCCTCCCCGGGACAACGTGCCAGGGAAAGGGCAGAGCCGAGATGAGCCCGGTGTCTGGGATGTAGCCCCAGACAGGGCCACCACACCGAGATCCCCGTGTTGGTGATAGATTGGGCACACCCAATCGGTAAGCACTGGCTGGCCCTCTGGCATAGCCGGGACAAACTGGCACCAGCTGCCCGCCCCTGTCCGCGCTCCCAGGAGGAAGGAAACATCTCAGCACCGTGCCAGGTACCAAAGCTACCTCCATAGCTGCAGGATCTGGCCAAGCGGCATCTCCAAGCAGCTCTTGGGTTACCAGCACCCCATGCCCACCCCAGGCACGGCTACTGTGCCCTCGGTGACACCAGCTGAGCCCATGTGAGAGATGAAGAGGAACTGAGCGCCAAACGCTGTGCCAGCCCTGAGCTGGGTAGCCCACATCAAGTGGGGCATCTCAGCTACTGCAGGGATTCCCCTCGGTGCTCCCACTCCTGCCAGCAGCAGGAGGGGAGGATGCCCACACACCCCCCGCAACAGGCAAAAGGATATCCCACTCCAAGAGACCGTGGCGGGTAGATAAGCCAAAGTCTCAAAGTCCTGGCACCCACTTGCAACCATGGGCCACAGAGCACCCCACAACCACGCTGCTGCCACCCTCCCAGGACCCCCATCCTACCTTTCCCTGGGGCTTGTGCCCTTCCCAGCTCCTCATATCCAATGACGGGGGCACCTGGTAGATGTCTTGAGCCTGACCGGCCGAGGGAGGAACCTGGTAGACGTCCTGGGGGGGGCTGGCAGAGCCCCCGGGGTACGCCTCCGCTGCTTGGCCCAGGGAAGGGGGCACCTGGTAGATCTCCTGGCTGGAGCTGGGGAAGGTGTGGGGAGGCGTCTGCTTTGGGTAGGCGGGCAGCTGCTTAGCCGGGGCAGGCGGAAACTGTCCGGTGGGCGCCGAGCCCGGGTAGAGACCCTGCTGTCCCTTGCTGGGGACCGGCATCAGGTAGACGTTGTCGCCTTGGGGGGCATAAGCAGGGTGC